TGCAGCGCAGCTCCTGCCCCTGCCCCCGCCGTCCCGGGTCCTGCCCTCGGGTGTCCCGGGTGCAGCCCCGGTGTCCCGGGAGCACCCTCAGCCCTGCCCGCTGTGCGACGGCAGCAGGGGAAGGCGAGCAAGTGCCAGCGCTGCTGTGGCACCCCCTGCACCCTCGCACCACCTCTCACCCCACCTGGTGCCTGCACCCTCCTGTTGCCCAAAGGCCAGCACTCCCCACCGCCTGCAGCCCAGGTTGACCCACTCCTTAGATCTACCTAACAGCAGCGCTGCCTGCACAGGAATGAAGCAAGGAAATGGAAAGGTTTGGGGCATCCCCAAATCCCAGATCAATTCCTGAGATGTGGGATCACTGCAGGGCATGATCCTGCACACTGGCACCAGGAGCAACTCATAGTCTTCCCAGTAGCTCTCCCGAACCAAAGGAACCACAGCTGAATCTGAGGATGTGACAACTTCTCATGATAGCACGGGATTACTGGGATTAATCTGGCCAAGATCCAAATTTAAGTGTCCCACATTTAGCCTAAAGTTGTCCAGGCTTCTTCTAGAGTCATTGGAGAGTGATGGGCCCACTTTGAGTGAGCTGGTCCTTCCTTGAGCACAGCAGATGAGCAGTGACATACCCTGCTCTGCTTGCAGCATTACCAGGTTAGACTGGATACCTGATTTCCAGGGCACCTGATAAGATGAATCCCATCCAAACAAAGTTTTGGAATCAGTTGGTGAGTTTGGCTGAGTTGGAAACTATTCATACGTATTAGTAAAATTAAGTTAATTCTTTAGAAGCAGGTAATTTGATTAGCATCTTGATGACCAATGACTAATTCCAGTTGGAATGACAAATCATGACTCTGATCGTATCTTATTTTTCCTCTAATTTGAAAGTAGAATGAAAAAACACTCAAGTAAGAACATTAGGCATACTGACAGAAAGCTTTAAAACATATTCCAAAATTGCATTATACACATACTGTTATAAATGGACTTATGAATCGTTATAGTTATTATTATATGCAACAATTTTTTTAATAATAATCTAGCATATACTGAAAAAAAACCCTCAAGCAACAACAAAATCAAAAATCACTCTTGTCATTCGAAAGACATAACCTTAACTTTGCCCGAGATCCCTGCAAATGCCTGGCCCTTACAGCACATTGGAAGCCCACTGAGCTGTGCCCATTTCCAGTTGTGGATGCAGAGACAATTCTGGGGTGCTTCATGCCTAGAGAGATGCTGAAGTCTCCCTGATTCAGTTGCATATTGACCACAGACCTTATGGCAGGATCACAGGCTGCCTTTTAGCACATGCCGAGGGAAGGATTTCAATGTTCTATTCCAACTCCTTTTCCCCAGCACAGCCAGCAGCTGGGGCTCCTAGTTCCAGCACACCTATAGATTCGGTGACATTGCCCCCTACAAAGTGGGCCCAGCAGCCTCTTACATCTTCAGGCGTGTTGCTCATGGCAGTCTGGCTCCCAAGTGTTCACACTGTCCCACTGACACTACAGGAACAGCTGATGTGACTGACTGCATCAGCTGGGTAGGGGACAGCGACAGCGCTGGAGACAGGAATAGACAGGAAAGGTGCCACAGTGACAGCATGACCAGCTCCCGGCCTCGTTCTGCTAAAACCTCTTCCAGGGGCTCACAGAGCCAGAGGCAACTTTCTGGCCTTTTAGCTTTTCACCATTGAGAGCTGGGGTTGCTTCTGTCCCAACAGCACTGTTATGACAGAATCACAAACAGAACAAGATGCATTTGAAGTTCAGCATCTATACACTCGCTTGAGGTATAAGGAAGCTACAGCCCTCCCTGCTGCCACGTACGTTTGTGGTGCTTGACGTGGGAGCGAGTTGCTGCTTTCAGCACCGAGCAGCACCAGCCACCACCCCCTGTCCAGTCAGTTGCCAACATCTCCCGAGACGTCACAAGAGCCACTGCTTTGGTGCTGACACGATACAGGCAGCGAGCTGCTCCCTCCGAGGTAATGGTTAATGAATCACTTCTGCTAAGTCCTTGTAAAAACACTGGTTCAGGAGCGGGAGCTTCTCACAGAAATAACAGACTGACTGCACTAGAAGTCAGCTTGTTTCACGGTGTGAAGAGGCTTGAGGAAGCCCTTCTCCTGTGGCAGGAGGACTCAAACTGTCCTTCCCTATGAGACCGTGGGCAGGTCCTGGGGCTGTCTGGTAGGGTCTGGGGAGAGGGTTTCTTCCCAGTGGCGAGATGACCCTTGTCAACTGATCTGTTGTGTCCTCTCACCACTGAATGAAACTGTAACTCCTGGCTTCCGTTGAGTTTGGACTCATATCCCAACTCTGAGCAGCCAAAGGCTCATGTGATGTCAAGCCTTGAAAGTGTTGCTGCTCCATCAAAATAACGCTCCTTTTGTATAGCCCCAGCATTTCATTTAGGATATCTAAAAACTGGAACCCAAATGTTTAAGCTCTTTGAAAGGAAATTCATCAGTGGGATGCAATGACTTGGGAGGAAATTATTCTGATGTTAATTTTTGCTGTTGCTTTAGATGGCAAGAAAAGAGTTCAGAGCTTCCTCACAAAGACTCTGCATCTGGAAAGACACCTTGATTTCTGCAGCACCTATTTCTGTAGCAGTATTAGGCATAGGCTCAGTATTAGATGTGTGATTGTGTCCCATCTTACCATTTAATGTTAACCTCAAAGCTTTCTTGAATACAGACTTTGGTGTTTGGAGCAGTTCTGCCTGTTATTACTAAAATTTCTGCTCTTTTCCTATATGTTTTGAAACACTAAAAATCCATACAGGCTTGTCCAGTTCCTACCATAAAACATGTATTAAACTTAAATAAGTAAGATAAAAGATTCTTTGGATCTATAACCTATTCATCAGCGCAATCCCAATGCAACAAATATTGGCTTTTTTAAATTGATGAAACAAACCCTGTACCTATAGCTAATGTATGTAGGCTCCTGCCTAATTCGATTGTTCAGCAAGAGCCTGTCTCTGGGTCTCATTGATCTTAATGGATGTTTGACAATTTTGTTTTTACAGAATCCTTCTCTCCTACAGCTCTGAAGAGACCCACTTGGGTTTACTCTGTGAGGATGCTTGCCCAGCACTGCTGTTTTTGCACAAAGCTGGAAAGTGTTTGCATCCTTGCAAAATGGCAGAACACAAGCATTTTTTGCACATGGCAGAAAGATGAGCAAGAGGAAGGTGAGCGTAACTGGAAAGAAATGAGTAGGAAAGCTAATGATGGACTATGGGAAGAACTGGATGGAGTTAAAAAGGTTTTTTTTTTTTCCCCCCAAATATTTATGTTTCTTCTCTGCGTAGCATTCTAGCTCTGATCTGGAGGAATCTGGCATGATCTTGCCTATCCACAGGGAGGAGTCTCAGTATGGGTGCAGGACTACCACAACCACCTCCATCAGCGCTGGGTTTGCAGATGTGCGACTCCTAGCACTACAGCTAAGCAATCAGGAGCTTTAACAGGGCATGTAAGGGAAATACAGGAGTTTCAAAGCCTTGAGTAAGTATCAGTGTGAGGTACAGCACTGCAGGAAAAGAAAAAAAGTGAAAAGGAACAGAAGAATCAATTTTTAATCTATGTTTTAGTGTCGTGACATTTAGAGATTCAATAGAAAGCTGTTTAGCCTACAAATTTCAGAGCACGTTAAGAACACAAGATCAACAAGAGATCAACATATTAAAAGTAAGATAATGCTGCTTTGAAAGTAGCATAAATGTAGAAAAAAAAGAGTCACTTATTAATGATAAAATATATGCCTACATTAAACAGGGAGCATGATGTTTGTCTGGGTTAAACTAAAATATAGTGTGATTAACTTTGGATAGAATATTATTCGTATCACGTTTTCCATGGTAGGCATTGAATTAAACCTTTTTCGTGTGTTATTACAAATACGCCTAATGTAATTTTTTCATTGAAACAAAGAGAAGTTACATGCATCAGTGATCCTTAACTAACATTGCGTAAGAGCTCATTAACAGTGCTTGTTTTAAATACAAGGAAAAGATACTTCTCTTATCATAAGGCAAGTTTTACAAGCAGGCCTCCCAGTGCGAGAGAGTACATTTATGAGATCCTAGAGACCTAGAAATGGCAGATATTATCAGCTGATGCTGCCTATGCTCTTGCAGTTAAAATGTCTCACTAAAGATTTCCATAGCTGAGCAAACCTTCCAGAAATGTTGAATCTTTAGGACTAAAAGTTCAGTCAGATAAGCACTGTATAATTATTCAGTAGTCACATGAATTTATCTGAACCTATTTGGACAGAAAATTGGGCTGCTAATCTCACAAAATCAGGCTCTCATACACTTTCCAGTATTGCTGATTTCAGTCTGCTTAAAAATACTTTCAGAAAAGCTGCTTATTGTACTCTGATTCATCATGCCAATACCTACATTTCCAAACTTTTATGGTTCCTTCTCAGTGGTTTTATTTACCTACCTATGTACACACCAGTAAGAGCTGACAGGATAGTCTGTAATCCTAAAGTGGTGGCTTCTTCCTATCTGCTTAATACTAATTTATTTTTTGAGAAGCATCTGTGTGAATTCAGCAGATGTGCAAATAATTCACCAAAAAGTAGAGCTCTGACTAAATACAACCTACATGAAAACATAAAAAAGAAACCCTATGCAATCAAACCAAAGGTCCAT